TTTAAAAATATTTATTTATTTATTATGTATACAATATTCTTTCTGTGTGTATGCCTGAAGGCCAGAAGACCTCATTATAGATGGTTGTGAGCCACCATGTGGTTGCTGGGAATCGAACTCAGGACCTTTGGAAGAGCAGGCAATGCTCTTAACCGCTGAGCCATCTCTCCAGCCCCCATGCTGCCACTTTGATGCTTGCCTCTAAACGCATCAGGCATGCTCTTCTCCCATAATTCCTCTGGTTAACTCTCTTGTCTCTTCAAGTCTTGACTTAGATTTCAGCTTTTCTCCTTTCTTTCTTTCTTTCTTTCTTTCTTTCTTTCTTTCTTTCTTTCTTTCTTTCTTTCTTTCTTTTTCCAGACAGAGTTTCTCTGTGTAACATCCCTGGCTGTCCTGGAACTCGCTTTGTAGACCAGGCTGGCCATGAACTCACAGAGATCACCTGCCTCTGCTTACTGAGTGTTGGGACTAAAGGTGTGCACCACCACTGCCTGGCTCATTTCACCTTTTCTTTCTTTTAAGATATATATTTTATTTTATGTATATGGGTGTTATATCTGCATATACACCTGCAATCAGAGAAGGGCATCAGATCCCAGATGGCTATGAGTCATCATGGGGTCTAGGAATTGAACTCAGAACCTCTAGAAGAGCAATCAGTGCTCTTAACGGCTGAGCCATCTCTCAAGCCCCTAGATTTCGCCTTTTCAGTGAGACCTACTCTGACCAGTTTACAGTTGTTTCCAGTTCTGAAATCTGCCACCCCTCCTAGACAGAACGATGGTTTTCCAACTGCTGAGAGCATAGTTGTAGGTTGTCCTTAACTCTCAGCTTTTTGTGGGCATGGCTTTGGGCTGAAGACAGCCACCTTGGTCAAGGTTACCCCCTATACCTAGGTATAGCCTGTATCCCCCTAACTGAGCTGTATTAAGAGACATCTTTAGTTTGAGAGCTCCTTGTGGAATCTAGGGAGAATTAGCCCCACCTGGACTTCTCCATCTGCCTATCAACACATCCCTACCCCTGCACAATTGTGGCTCTGGAGAGTTATCAGCTACTTGCTCTCTCCTCTCTCCTCCAGTCAGCATTCCAGGAAATCTCATGGACAAACTCTCTCTCCTCTCTTATTAAAAAAATTATGTGTATGTATGTTTCCCCTACATGAATGTCCATTTGCCATGTGCATGAAGTATCCATAGAAGCACTGGATCCCCTGAAATGGGACCTACGGATATCTGTGAGATACCATGTGGGTGTTGGGAATTGCTGGGAATTGAACCTAGGCTTTTTTTTTTTTTTGGAAGAGTAGCTACTGTTCTTAACTGCTTAACAATCTCTCCAGCCTCCTCTTCTCTCCTCCCTTTCTTCTTTTGCACTCAAATAATCATATCATAATATACTGTTTTACTGATTTATTATGATTTTTTTTGTATACTAACACACCAAACCCCCTTCAAATTTCAGCTCTTTATCTAGGATCTTTCTTTTGTTCATCAGCAAAGGAATCTCAGGCATCTAGAACAGGGCTTGGGACATTGTAGATGCTCAGTAAAAACCACTGGTCTCTGAAACTAAACATCTAAGATGTTTCTTCTAGCACAAGGCAAGGAAAGGGATCCTGAGGAAGGGACGGTAGCACTGAGACTTTCTGGGAAGGACTTATTGGATATTTCTAAAACAAAAAAGTCTTGTCACTTGACCTAACAATTCCTATCTGGCTATAACTAACAAATCACAGGTGGGTCCGGGGATGCGGTTCAGTTGATAGAGTACTTGTCTAGTATGCACAGAATCCTGGCACATCTGCTGTCTCAGGAGGGTTGGGGAGGCAGGAGGATTAGAAGTTCAATGTCCTCTTCAATTACATCATAAGTTTAGGACTAGTTGACCTATTTGAGAAACTACCTCATAATAAAGAAACAACCTTGTGTAGCTACAAATATTCTCCAATCTGTTTGTCCCCCTGTACTGGTTTCTCTCCACCTACCAGGTCCTGCTCACGAGCTCCTGAAATCTCTTATGAAATTATATCTTATATTAATTCATTTCTATTATATTTTGTGTTTTACCACAGAACTCATGGGTTGTTACCAATTGCTTCATGGGAAGCTACATGGTGTCTGCCTGACTCTGCCTTCTTTCTCCCTACATTCAGTTTAGTTTTCCCACCTACCTATATTCTGTCCTGCCATAGGTCAAAGTGGCTTCTTTATTAACCAGTGATAAAAAAACATATTCATAGCATACAGAGGGGAATCCCATATCAACCCTGTTATGGAATAATCTTTTTGTACACTATGAGGATGTGTTTTTGCCAAGGCACCTTCTGATTTGGTTTAATAAAAGGCTGACTGTCTGATAGCTAGGCAGAAAGAGATTGGACAGGAGAGACAGACTAAGAGAACGCTAGGAAGAAGAAGGGCAGAGTTACGAGGAGTCACAAAGAGACTGAGAAGTGGGAAAAACATGCTGTGCTGAGAAAAGTACCATCGTGTGGCAGAGTGTAGATAAGAAATATGGGTTAATTTAAGATGTAAGAGCTAGTTAGTAATAAGCCTAAGCTATCAGATGAGCATTTATAACTAATAATAAGTCTTTGTGTGGTTATTTGGTAGCCAGCTGGCAGGACAGAGCTGACTGGCAGAACAGAAAAGTTCCACCTCCCCAACCTCCCTAAAATAAGACAAAAACCTTGGGTAGCTTGAGGGATGGGATAGTCAGCTTAGAGGACCATGTTAGCTAGGCCAGGCTGCTGGGAGGGACAATAAGGCCTCCGGGCTTCTATCAACCACTTTCATCTCTCTCTCTCTCTCTCTCTCTCTCTCTCTCTCTCTCTCTCTCTCTCGATACAGGGCTATGACTCAGTTACTCTGACTATTCTTTTGCCTGTGGGTGTGGCCCAGCCTTTCTTGGACTAGAAGGTTTAATCCTGGAAGCGTCACTCAGATTTCCCCACTAGCAGTGGAAGGCCCTGCTGCTGTGAATTAAGGTGATATCGCACTAATGGAAGACAGATTGAATTGTGATAAAAGAATAAAACAGTGGATGTCCTCTGCGCCACCCCCCTCCCCCAAGGTCGGCATCATCCGCAAAGGATGTTGGGGCATGCCTATGAAGAATGATGTCCACCTCGCCTCAGTGAGGGCTGGGACTCTCACCTGGTCCAGTCTCACAGGTGACAGGGAACTGTTTTATCAGTGGCACCGAGGTGTTACTGTAGTAGTCCGTGTCCAGGACCCACCAGTATGGGCGCTGTCCGAAAAGAATCCTGTGGAAAGTAGAACCAGTGTCTGAGTGACTCCGTGCATGATTTAGCTGGAAGCCCACACTTTCAAAGAGGAAGAAGCTGGCGTGTTTATCCCCTTTGGAGGTACGTATCTCCCTTTGCCTGGGAGAGGGCCTGGGAGGACCTTGTGTGACACAGTAGATAGCTTTAGAAAGAAAATCTTTTTTGAGAAAGGGCTTCTCTGTGTAACAGCCCTGGCTGTCCTGGAACTTGCTTTGTAGACCAGGCTTTGAATTCAGAGATCCACCTGCCTCTGTCTCGCGAGTGCTGGGGTTAAAGGCGTGGTGCCACTACTACCTGGCAAGTTCTGAAATTTTGACAGGTGAACATATTATCTATTCAAACATAAACAAGTAGCTTCCAAAATGAGATGTAGTAGTGGGATTAGCTATTTGGAAGGCTGATGCAGGAGAATCTCTTCAGACCAAGACTTTGGGGCTAGCCTACGCAACACAGCAAGGTCCTGCTCTCTCCCTTTCTCTCTCTTTTGCCATTCCCTCCAACTCTCTAATGTGTGTGTGCCCAAGGGTGTGAAGGTCAGAGGACAACCTCCAAAAGGCCATCTGTCTTCTTGACATGAGGTCTGTCACTGACCTGAAGCTCACCAATCAGGTTAGATTAGCTCCAGGGTTCCACCTGTGTGGTGGTTGGACTAGGTATGTCCCCCATAGATTCATGTATTTAAATGCTTGGCACATAAGAATGGCCCTATTAGGAGGCTTGGCCTTGTTGGAATAGGTGTGGCCTTGTTGAAGGAAGTGTGTCACTATTGGGCAGGCTTTGAGTCTTAAATGCTCAAGCTATGCCCAGTCTCCTGCTGCCTGGGGGCCAAGATGTAGAACTCTCAGCTCCTTCTCCAGCACCATGCCTGCCTGCGTGCCGTCATGCTTGTCGTCATGACGATAATGGGCCAAACGTCTGGAACTGTGAACCAGTGCCACTTGAATGTGTTCCTTTAAAGAGTTGCTGTGGTCATGGTGTCTCTTCACAGCAGTAGACACCCTAAGACAGCCTGTCTTCACCTCGCCAGTGTTGGGGTTACAAATGCATGCCACCAAGCCCAGCATTTCCACATGGGTTCTGGAGACTGAACTGAGGTCCTTGGGTTTATAAGACAAACATTTACTGACTGGGCCGCCCCTCACCTTGATCAGCATATTTGAGGCCCTACTTTCAGTCTGGAACCCAATTTGTTCTACTCTTAAGAACTTTTACTATTTATGGCTAAGGAATATGAGAAGTGGAGGCAGGTATTAAGAATCTCCAGGAGAGAGCCAACTAGATGTCTGGCAAGTAAAGACACTTGCCCTTAAACATGGCAACCTGAGCTGTATCCTTGGTGACCACATAGTAAAAGGAAAGAATAGATTCCTGCAGGCTGTCCTCTGACCTAAAACTGCATGCTGAGGCATGCATGCATGCATGCAACACACACACACACACACACACACACACACACACACACACACACAGACTCATACATGCCAGGCAGGGAGGCACACATCTGTAATCCTAGCTCTTGTCTGATAGAAGAGAAGGATTAAAAATTCACAGTGATCTTCAGTTACTTACTGAATTTCAGGCCAACCGATGTCACATGAATCCTTGACTCAAAAACAAAGCGAAGAATTCCCTGCAATGGGGTATAGTTGAACACCTATCTACTCCGAGCCCCCTGGAACCTGAGGCTTGAGGATTACAAGATGGAGGCCTGTCCATGCCAGGCCTTAAGAGACCTTGTCCTTTAAGAAGAAAATCCCATGGGGCTGAGGCTACAGCTTAGTGATAAAGAGTGCATATAAGACTCTGACCTGAATTCAGCCTCTAGAATTCAAGAACAAACAAATAGACTAGGCATGGCGGCTCACACTTGTAATCCCAGCACTTGGGAGGAGGCATGAGTCAAGACCAGGCTGGACTATTTAATAAATTCCAGGGTAGCCTGGACTACAGAATGAGATAATTCCTTATCACTGAGTATTTCCCTCGTGCCCCATCTTAAAAAAACACAATGAAAATGATGTGGGAGTGTCATATCAATTTGTTCATTTCATTGGTTAAGTAATAAACACACTGCTTGGCCTCATAGGTTAAAGCATTGGTGGGAGGAGTAAACAGAATAGAATTCTGGGCAGAAGAGGAAGTGAGGTCAAACCATGCTCAGCTCTCCCGAGCAGAGACATCAGGATGGACGGAGGCTAGACTCTTCCCGGTAAGCGCACCTTGGGGTGCTTACACACATCATTAGAAATGGGCTAGTCCAGGTGCGAGAATTAGCCTGTAAGGGTTAGAGTTCATGGGCCAAGCAGTTCTTAAATGAATACAGTTTGTGTGTTGTTATTTCGGGCATGAGCTAGCCAAGCGGCTGGGATGTTGGGGACGCAGCCCGCAGCTCTTATTTTTTTTTTTAAATATTTATTTATTTATTATGTTTACAATATTCTGTCTGTGTGTATGCCTGACAGCCAGAAGAGGGTGCCAGACCTCTTTACAGATGGTTGTGAGCCACCATGTGGTTGCTGGGAATTGAACTCAGGACCTTTGGAAGAGCAGGCAATGCTCTTAACCACTGAGCCATCTCTCCAGCCCCCCGCAGCTCTTATTACAACATGAAAAGCCAGGCATGTTGGCACAGGCCTTTAATCCCAACACTTGGGAGGCAGAGGCAGGAGGATCTCTGTGAGTTTGAGGCTAGCCTGGACTACAAGAGCTAGTTCCAGGAAAGGCACCCAAGATACACAGAGAAACCCTGTCTCAAAAAACAAGCAAAACAAACAAACAAACAAATAAACAAAAAATCCACAAGCAAAGCAGGAAACCAGAGGCTGAGAGTTGTCTGAGAAGGTCAAGAACCTGCTTTGAAAACAGGAGGCCCTGAATTCCATCACCAGAACTGATAAAAACAACAACAAAACAAAACAAAACAAACAAGCCAAAACAACAACAGAAAGCCAAAACCAAGGCGTGATGGTGTACACCAGTGGTCACACAAGCCAGTGGATCCCCGGGGTCTAATCTACTCAGCAAGCTCCAGTCCAGTCACAGACCCTGACTCAGAAAGTTTCTGAGGAATGACTGCTCTGGCCTCCACAAACACAGGCACATGCATGTACACACGTGACCATGTCTATCCACAGACACACACACACACACAACACCTGGTAACAGACACAGACAATTCTATGAATGGAGAAGTTGGTCCTCTTCATTTTCTAGCTGAGGAAACAGGCCAAACCAGCATTCATTGATTTTTTTCAAACAAGAAGCATCAGTAGCTTAGATATTACCGTAACAGGAAAATTTACACAACAGTGCCTGGCTGGTGTTAGAAGTCAGGGCTGTTGTCTCACCCCCACCACTAGCTGCAACTTAGTTCTTCAGAGCGCTGGCAGCCTCTGCTCTGGAGGAACCGTGTTCATCCCACTGGTGAACTCCTAGCCTTGCTCTCTGGCCTGTAACATAAATAGCATCTCCACAGAAAAGCCCAAGGCCTGGGCTGAGGGCACTCCTCAGTGATAGAACACGTGCATGCGTGCACGCACACACACCCACCACACACACACACACGCACACACACACAGAGCCTGGCACATAGTAACTACTCAATAAATGCCCACTGTGATTATTATTAAGATTCTGGTGAGAGTCAAAAATTTACAGACTCTGAAACAGAAGCTCAGAGAATTCATGCAACTTTCCAAGGACGTACAGTTGCAAGGTGGTAGAGCCAGGTCCTGGCTACCTGGGTTACTTCTCACTGCCTAACCAAAAGGTTAAGAGCCATTGGCTTCCTCTTCCCAGCCTCCCTGCTTCTTTCCTACATCTATTTCTACGGTGACCATCCTTCCTCAAAGTAGGAAAACCTGTACGCAGGGGCTGGAGATGCAGCTCAGTTGGCCCAGTCAAGCATCATGAACATGCTTTGAACATGCTCTCATGCACAGAGCCCCAGGTTCAATCGCCAGAATGCTAACCTGCACGTGGGTGCTCACACCTGTAACCCCCCGCCAGCACTCAGGAGGAAGAGATAAGAGGAATTCAAGGTCATTCACTATCTCTTGCCTAGTAAGTTTGAGGCCAGCCTGGGCTACAGGAGACCCTATCTTAAAGTAATAAAGTATAACAAAGACTTCACTCGGACTTTTCATTTAATTCATCTGTCCTTCCGCTCCTGCAGGTCAGATAAAATAGACTTTTCCCTATTCCTAGGCCCTGGTGGGATTCCCGCCGTCTTTTTTCTTTCTGTTGATACTCTCAAGTCAAGGGAGGTCTAGCCTTTGGCTTGGTATGGAGTGCCCCTGCTGGAGGACAGCCATTTCTAGCAAGAACACAGCCTCTTTCCCTGCCAAGCACCCCTTTGCACGGTTCTTACCACTTAAAGACGAGGTTGATCCAGTCCCCCACCACTGCCACCCAAAGGAGTTTGATGCCCACAGTCTCTCGAAGATGGAACCAGATGGGGAAGAGGACATAGAAGGCATTCCTGAGGTCAGCGATCACAGACACTAAGATGAACCAGTCCTGGGAGTCTTTGTAATTCACTTGGAGGTAGCGGGTCGACTGGATCCCAAAGTCGTGGAGAACGTTCATTCCCTCCTCCATCCTCACTCCGCTGGTACCGCAGGAAGCTGGCAGCCGAGCCCGTGCAGTGAGCCCAAGCTTGATGGTGATTGCTCTGCTATCAGTTTGCGCCTTGCCCCTGTTTTATATGCCCTGGATTCAGTCTGTAGGTCAACCCAGCCCTGATCTTTGGACTCGAAAACCACTTTTGTCTAAAATCTATTGATCAAAGGTGCATCATCAGTAGGTTGATGCAAGCATGTTCAGGGTGATTTACGTAAAATAGCAAAACAGGCACACAAAAACAGCCTGATCTGCCATTGGCAGAGCCAATCATTAACTTGGGCACACGCTTGACAGTGCTGGGGGCTGTCCTCCGTCCTGGCCCTTGAAGCCAGGCCAGAGGCTCGGGGCAGAGTCTGTTGCCACCATGGCTCCTGCAAGTAAGTGCCTCTGCCTTTTGAAGTCTGCAGCAGCATTCCTCTGGAGCCAAAGGGAAGTTCGCTGCTGTGGGGGCTGATGTTTTAAGTTATTATTTTAAAATATCTAACAGCAGGTTCTGCTGTCCTGGGAACTGTCACTCTGCTGGCCTTTCACCAGCTTCATGTGGGCCCGGGGTCTACCTCTGGATCGGGATGCCAACATTCTTTCCAATATTGATTTTTATATTTCTTAGGGCAAGTAAACAATCGTTTAAAATGTTTTTTACTTACGTGTGTGTGAGTATGTGTTTGTATACGTGTGTGTGACAAAGTATGTATGTCCAGATAAGAGGATTACTTTCAGGTCTCTCCTCCCACCATGTGAAGACCGGGACTTGAACTCAGGTCCTCGGGGTTGGCGGCAAGCACCTTTACCTGTTTCCCTGATGAGACCTCTTGTCCAGCCCCAGGGCAATCATTTTTTAAAGCAGTGATTAACTCATCGAATTATCTTAAAACTAAGCTCTTTTGAATTTTAAGACTTTTTTTTTTTATCACTTGTAGGTGTGTTGTTGGAAATCCAATATAGGGCTTCAAGCATGCTACGCAATACAGGGCCTCTGAGCTACGCCTCCAGCCCTTTAATTGATAAACAATAACACTAGAATGAACACTGGACTCTGAGTAGGAATCGGCAACTGGAGACTGGGAGAAAAAGTTAGGCACTTTGTCTTTGATGCCAGATCTGCTTCTCAGGCTTTGAAATGACTACATACGAAAGGATGACCGTGGTCTTATCCTGTCTCCCAGGTGCTGGACCACAGTCATGCCCTGCCACGCCCCGTTTACGTGGTGCTGTGTCTCCAACCCAGGGCTTCATGTGCGCTCGCTGCTTACTCCAGCAGGTGTGCTAAGTCTTTGCCTCATCCTAGTTATTTTTGGAAAGAAGGCTTTAGAGCCAGGTGTGGTGGCACGTGTGTTTAATCCCAGCACTCAGGAGGCAGAAGCCAGGAGGATCTCTGTGAGCTCAAGGGGCGGCTTAGTCTGTGTATCGAGTTCCAAGACAGTCAGGACTACATAGAGAGACCACGTCTCAGAAGAGAGAGAGGCAAAAAGAGAGGGAGGAAGGGAGGGAGGAAAGGAGGGAAGAAGAGAGAAAAAGGAGAGAAAGAGAAAGAGGAAGGAAAGAAAAGGGCTTTAGTGTCTTGCTTATTCTTTCATATATATTTATACAATCAACCTGAAAGCAAGGGACAGAGCAAAAACCTTACTCTTGGGTCACAGAGGACTCAGAAGGGAGCAGGGAAGTGGCAGACCCATGCATTTTTCAAGAAATTCAGAGTTTCTAAATCTGCAGAGAAAGCCAACAGCACGCCATGCTGGAAGTGATGGGCACATCTCACAGGGCATGCGCTTTGGACCTGGAGGCGAGATCTGGCACGGTCTCAGCTCTGCCGACAAGGATTGCAGCTCTCTCTAGCAGACTTTGATTGCCCTACCCATATTGTTTCTAACCTGGAGAGAGGGTGAGGTGGCATTGTATCCTCTACTGTCAGGACTTTGGGGGTCATAGTGAGTGTGTCTCACTAGAAGAGGCAGCTTCTTCCCTTTACCAGGTTAAGTCTTCCTAGAGAGTATCGAGTATCCGTTGTGGTGATCCTAGGACTGGAGTTTCTGTGGATTGAGGAGAGTTGAGGACAAACAGGGCAGATTCTCTGACGAAGCATCCAGAGGTCACTGTCTGGGTCCCTGCAGGGTGAGGAGTCGGGATCTCTGTGTCAGGCGGGGTTCTGTCATGTGCTCAGCTTATGGAACGCGGGCTGAGAGCGCTATCTTCAGAGGAACTCCGGGAGAATGCTCGCTCGTGCTGATAAGGGTTCAGAGCTGGGTTGATGTCCTATTCTGAGCATGCAGAGGCTGTGGGAGGCTCTGCTGTAGCCTGCCTGCTATGTGGCATGTGAGTGTGCGCGTGCGTGCGTGCGTGCGTGTGTGTGTGTGTGTGTGTGTGTATGTGTGTGTGTGTATGCGTGCTCTGGATTACATGATGAGGCTGTTTCCTAGACCTCATCTTTGACCTCCCAGCTCTTTCTTGCTGCTTCCAGCAAATTTTTATCGTGCGCAGAAAGAGGTAAAGACCAGAGAGCCCCAGCTGGAAAACAGAGGGAAGAGGCAACTGTGGGTCCTCCAAGGTCTTGGGCATCACCAGAGGAAAATACTGTGGACAGAATACTTGTTTTTTCTGGAGGTCTTGCTCGTCTAGTTGGTTAAGGAATTGTCTCAACTGCTATGACCATAATCCTAGCAGGAGGTGACCCCAGGAGGCTGGCAGTTCAAGACCTGCTTGGTCTATACAGTGAGACTCCGTCTCAAAAGAACAAATTACCTAAGGGGTGGGAGGATAACTCAGCAGTCTAACAGTGGCGTGCGTGAGATTCTGGGTTTGATCACCAGCGCCACTGTAAAGAACGAACATACAAAGAAAAGCCAACATACACACAAAAACAAAAATCTCTCTCCAAAGAAAGAACCTCACCTTCTCCCTCTCATTAGCTTTTAAATGTTTTTTAATTGATTCTTTATCAAGATTAATTTTTAATTATGTTTAAGTGTATGTGTCTGTCTGTGGTTGTGTGTGTATGTGGAGGTGGAGTTACTGGCAGCTGTGGGCCACCATGTGGGTCCTGGGAACTAAACTTGAGTCCTCTACAGGAATAGAACATGCTCTCAACTACTGAGCCATCTTTCTAGCCCCCTCCTTTTAATTCTTGCTATTTTTATTTTTAAACAATTCTCCAGTTCAACTTAATCAACATTTCCCAAGCTTCACGCTCCACCGACCACCGACCCACAGGCATTCCAAACTAAATCCTGGCTGATCTCTGGGGCACTGGTGGTCTACTGGGGGGCTGGGCAGGGAGCCAGACCTAGCCACCAAAACTGAGTGCTCTTTGTATTGAAATAGTCTCTTATTTGTACAAATGCCGGTGAACCCCTTATGGGTCCTCAATGGTGAAGACTCTGGACATATCAATGCTAACTGGGGGGTTTCAGGGAAAGCTGAGAAATGCCAAGGATGGAAAATGGCTTGGCCCTTTCTTTGTGAGGTATACTAACCAGCAGAGACACGGGGCAGTTTTTCTACAGACACCCAAAAGTTTGGGAAGAAAATGAAGGAAAGGGGCCAGAAATGACAGTTCTGACCCAGCGCACTGTTTCGAGTGAGGTTGACTCATTCCTTCAGGTCTATTTGCCAACAGGAGAGCCAAGAAAGGAAGGAGTGTGTTCACCATACACATCGGCCGAAATTGTGTACTACCAAAAAGAAACTCTAGGTGGGTTTTTTTTTTTTTTTTTTTTTTTTTTTTTTTTTTTTTTTTTTTTTTTTTTTTTTAAGCTGAATCCCGTATTCTGGCTTGGACTCTGGGCTCTATTGAGAGAGGGGCTTCTTTTACTTTGCTGGTTAGTATTGCTAGAATAAGTCTTGCTTACAAACTGTAGCCAGGATACAGCTCATAGGTGTCTGACCTGAAGGGTGTGGGTCAAAACTGCAAGTTAAACAGTTCTGTGTGCCTGTGTTTTAAAACAGAGTCTGCAGCCAAGCCTGACCTTAAATTCTATCTGTAGCCAAGAATGACCTTGGATGACCTCCAACCTCCTGAGGGCTAGGATTAGTTTTGGTTCACCACCCCTGGTTTGTGGCTAGCTGGGCGCGCACACTTCCAAACAGGCTACAGCCCCAGCCACACTAAGTTTAATTTAATATTTTTTTTCTTTACAACTTTAGGTGGGTTTCTTTTTCCTCCCTCCTACCAAGTGATCGATGGGGGAGGTGTTTGGGGGTGAACTGTGGAAACTGGCTGGTTCAGCTGCTGTCACCTTCAGAGTGAGTGACCCAGTTCGTTCGCCAGAAAAACAAGTCGGGGGATTCAGATGGAGGTGGGTTAATGATTGCTAGCCAGTGAAAAATGGCTGACTTATCGCTGGCTCAGTGAGAAAGTTCAGGTTGAGGACCTTGAACTGTACACCTGTTGACCAGGCAGCAAGAGCCTGGCTCTCAGGAAGGGCTGGACATTTTGTCCACTGAGAAATTCCCCAAAGGCTTTTTGCTCCATGGCAAACAACTAAGAGCCCACTGCTCGTTCAGCTCCCTTCCTCCTGCCAGCCCAGCAGCTGCCTTCTCTCCAAATTAAGACCCCCTTCCCGCACAGAAGTGGGTGTTTCTGCCAGGACAATCCCTTGGGGACAGGCGGCAGACTCTTTTCTCATTCCCAGCACAACCTTTGGTGATGCCAAACCCTTCCAGTAGGTAGGAAACATTCTTCCTGTCAAATTTGGTCCTTCCTGCTAGCCGTGGAATTTGGCCGGTGGTGAACTGCAGGGGATCTCTTCTCTCCGTGAGCATGCTCCACCCTCTGGAAGTGTCCCCGTGAGGACCTGTTAGAGCCCAGGGCCTTGACATACACTTGCACACATGCAGCAAGCCCTCTGCCACGGAGCTAAAGAGAAGGTAAATAGCGTTCCAGTGTGAAAAGCCAAAATCCTCTCAGCGGGGTGTGAAGGCCTGGGTCTCTAGTCCAGCCACTCAAGAGTCTGAGGCAGGGGGATTGCCTGAGGGCAAACAGCTCAGGACCAGCCTGAGTTGTAAGTCCCTGTCTCTGAGGGAGAAGAAACAAAACAAACAAAGAACCCCACCACCACCACTACAACAAAACCCCTAAT